ATGCCACGACCCGGAAGAAATTCTTACGACGAGCAGAAGCCTCCATATTCATACATAGCATTAACAGCAATGGCGATTCAAAGCTCGGGAGAGAAAATGCTGCCATTAAGTGACATTTACAGGTTTATCATGGACAATTTTCCCTTCTACCGCAAAAACACACAACGCTGGCAGAATTCCCTGCGACATAATCTCTCCTTCAATGACTGCTTTATCAAAATCCCCCGACGACCGGACAGGCCAGGAAAGGGATCTTACTGGGCGCTGCATCCCATGTGTGGGGACATGTTTGAGAATGGCAGTTTTCTTAGGCGTCGAAAAAGGTTCAAACTTCGGCAGATGCAGATGCAAATGCAGATGCAGATGCAGATGCAAGGCAGTACACCGCCCTCACCAGAATTTATAGACATGAAGTCTCCAGCTACAGTTGATACTGCCCTCTTCCTTCAAGAAGCCATGGCAAGGGCTAGCCTTCACCAGTCATGGTCAAATCAAACAAGATTTCAGCCATACATTCCACCACCTAATCCAGCTACGAAACATTCGTTTTCCATCGAGAACCTTATTTCGCCAGATTACAAGTCTACTTCTAGTATTTTAGCACCACGGCCGCTACTTCCACCTCCATTGCCGTCATTCGCCGCGCAGTTTTCATCGAGTTTACCTCCAAATCTAGTTGCTTCATACGCTACAAGTTTAGATTTGTCGTCATCGTCGTCTCTTGCCAGCTCCATCTCCTCTTTGTCAACGCTTTCTTCTCTCAGTTCTTCACCTTTCACCTCCAGTCTTATGTCGAGATTCTCAGCGAACTTCGACTTACTCAAGTCGTCTGCTCACGAAGCAGGATCAATATCTCATGTACCCATCAAGCCATCCCCTATAAACCCCCTAAGCATCAGTTACACGGGACATCATTCCTCGTTTGTACCTAGAATAGGCTTACCAATACCTTTGACCACGCCGTTTTCAGACAAGATGTTTCACATGATGCGGCCAACTGTGACAGCGATAAACAGATCCATGCCTGTGATGCCGACACGTCCAGTCAGTGCCGAAAGTTGACGGAAGTTATCTGAAAAAAAAGACACTCACCGATATTCTACCAATGTCCTCATGATAACTTGTAACAGTGAAAGTTATATGCGCAGTTCATGTACGCCATATAAGCCAACAAATGTAAGTTGAAAAAATTAAATGTCCCTTTTCCTTGCCTTGAGGCATATAGGGCTAGCCCTATTTTTTTTTTCATAGACCAATCGGCACAAGATGGGTGACCTGGTTAGCATGAAGCCGGCCGCCTTTACTTCCCGGGGCCAACACATGTAGATATTGGATGTGTATGCTTGTACTTGAATGGTGTTTTTTAACGCATTTGTGTATTATTCATACGTTAACTCTTTTGTGTTGGTTTTTGTTATAAAATGTACATATTGCTCTGAAACGGTGATGGTAAGCTCTTACCAGTGATGGTTTGTTAATTTTTGATTAAATCCTCTAGAAAACAGTTTCAAACCCTTAATGACTTTACGGGGTTCAAGGGTCAATACTGAAACATCCCGCGGATTATGTTGTGTATTCTAGACAAAGCATTGAGGTCTACTGTGTTCGTAAATTGTTTCTGTGCTTGTTATTCAACCTATGCTTCGTAATATAAATTTATGTAACCTATGGTGCCATTTCAATGGTTTGAAATGAATTCTCTCCGTATTCCATAGTTGTGGATTTAAAGATGTACGATAGACATGGCCAATAAGGCACTTTTTTCGGGGCTGCCTGGTTGACCATGTTCTTAGGGCACTTGTTTCCATAGCGAGGCACACACGTCGTCTGCAGGTAACAGGTTCAATTTCACGCACGGCAACTAAAGATTTTGTCGGTTGACGACAGGGCTGTTCAACTGTGACCCTCGGACCCAATCTGACCCGCGGAGGCATAGCAAGTGACCCGCGGAGGCATAGCAAGTGGCCCGCAGATCATCGCCAGTTTTATTATATTAATGATCTTTCTATTCTGGAGCTCGGGCCTTTCTCATCGAATCCGGCTTTACGGCATTACGAAGCGCGTTCGCATCCCCCAAGCCACAGACACCGACGAGAGTGATAAGTAACAGCAAAATTCATAAACTGTTTGAATCACTATTGATAACTGGCACCACGCAGGCTAATAGGCTGAACTGGCTGCGGCATATTGAGAGAATGTCAGATGACAGAGAGGTAAAAACTGTATACATGAGGTAGACCAAGAAGATAGTGGAGAAATAATATACAGGCAGACAGGTAAACAGTTGGAGTCACCAACTGTAAAGAGAAGACTTATCACAGAGATGAATAGACTGCGCATGGTATATTTAGCAATGAACCTCAAGGGTTCAGAATGCCAAAGATGAAGGCAAAAACTTTAGCAGACTGAAGTCTGAGATGATATATTGTGTTATCAAAATCGATATCACTGTACATTAGGCATTCCCATACGTGCTCAGTCCTCAGATGCAGCAACCACTCCAAACTAACTTTACTTAATTCTTCCCATGAGGAGCTGGTATAGTGTATCCTATAATACATTGGCTTCGAAGGGGCATAAACGTGCGACATCTTGCTTTATTTCCATGTCACGCAATCGTGTTAGTGTCATAAATTCGTTGCTATCTACTAACCTAGTCGGCACAGCGTTGATGATATCTGCTCTGTCTATCATCTTTCCAAACGCGTTGCTGCGTTGCTTGCCACCTGGTTCGCTCGTTTGTTACCTATCACCTCGCATGGCCAGGTGTGTAGATCCTGGTAAGGAGGTCAAGTGCGACTTCGGAGTCTGAGATCAACTGTTGTGTTTTTTGGGAACACTCAAGTTAATATTTAAGAATGTACAGACATAAAGAGGAAGACAAACTGCGATTGCTTAAAATAAACATGAAGAGCCTGCCAACTTGCAGACATCAATACCTGTGATCACACATCGTGGGTGGTTTGGGATAAAAAGTTCTCCTTCTCAAAGTCCATACCCTGTGGCGTTTATTGTGTATTCAACGTATTAACGTCGTGGCACACGGGTGTAACCCATAAGTGTTCCATTCTACTTCTAACTCAAGATTGAGTCTGAAGATTCTCAGCACAGTGCACTAACTCCGTTGCAACGGCGAGGATCCTGAAATACTTTCGATAGATTTTCAACTCAAAATTTTGCCAGGGAAGCGCCGTTAGGCTACTCTTTTCGATTTCCAACTGCCAAAGTTTTTTTTTTTTTTTTTATGTGCGCAAAAACACACACTGGACGTCCGATCTCACCCCCAGAGACCCGGGGAAATTACTAGAAGTCGTACGTGATACGTATGGTGCTGTTAGTCATTTCTAACCCACAGGACTTCTGTCATGATAACTTTCAGTTAACTCTGATACAGATGATCCTCCATGATGATGTCAAACTGTCTAGCATCTTTTTTTCGGTCTCACTCCGTTTCTCCTCCATTTTAACTCTCATACTGTCACGATGTACTCCAGTTTTCTCCTTCTCATCACATGACCAAAGAATATAGATTGTTTCTTTCTGATGTGGGCAGTCAGTTCTCTTCCAGAGTCAGTTTCATTCAACATCTTCATTACTCTTCTTCTCTGTTTGGGGTATTCTCTTCATACGTCTATAAAACCATATGTCCTCAGCTTCCAAATGAGTTTTCACTAATTTACTAACTGTCCATGATTCACTTCCGTATATCAAGATAGGACTTATGTAGCTTTTGAGAATTTTCCTTCTCGTCTCAAATGGCAAAGAAAGATTACATACAATATTCTTCCTTTTGTAAAATGCTGCCTTTGACTGTTTTCCAGCTACTGTACGCATAAAGTAAAAAAAAAATGTAAAGTTCCCTTTTCACGCCTTTCGGCGCATCGAGCATGGACAGAGCGTCCCATATTTTTACATACCATCAGCACTCTGGGTAATGTGGTCAAGCATTATTCGCCGGCTGTCTTTACTTTCCCAGGACAGCCCATCCTGGTACCCGTTTTAGGCTGGGTCGACCTACGACGTCCCATACCACGATAAAAATCCACGCAGCCTGCAGTGGGTTTCGATCGCGGTATGCTGGCTTACGAGTCGGACTCGCAACGCCTTAGCCACGGACGCCGCACTGTGCGCATACCAGAGAATAAAAAGTAGCTTCTATAAATCAGAAAATGTGACAAAAATATGTTAATAATTATATCAATGCTAGGCGGTTGTAACTTCAACTCATTTATTTACAAAAATATGACCTCAAGCTAAAAGTTGCGTCCACAGTTATTCAGACGACAATCCCACTGATCAAATGTAGATGAAGTCATGATTACAGCATGTTTTTGTGTGTTGTCAATGGGTGAAACAGATAATGTTTACAAAAGTATTACATATTATACAAACAAGAGCCGCAGCGCCAAGAAATATTTGGGGTTGGAGCTCCTCTTTCAAATTTTCTAGAGAGGGCCCAGGGGCGGGGTAGGGGGCCAGGGGGGGGGGTATGTTTAAGCCCTAAAAGCTTAATAATAATAATAACAATAACATAATAATAATAAGTAAATAATAATAATGATATGCTCAATGGCAAAAAAAAACATAACACTGGTCAACAGACATTTAAAAGTTACGTGTACCAGAAGCTAAATACACAATTTATGTGTGATTTTGACATGCTAACTTGAAATATCAGAATGAAATTAACCTCTTCCACCCTTTTTTTTTTCAATAATAAATTTACATTATAGTTGCAAAAATAATGCATGCTTGTTTAATTCTCTGTGGTGAACTCCAACAGTAATCAGCAAAAATTTAAAGGCTTCGGTAGCTTTGATACTTTGTTTCCATAGCGACAATGTTCTGAGGAAATCGTTCACTTTGCTCATCATTGACAAACCCACAGTTTGACATAGAGAAATTGACGCGTGCGATGTCCAGGCTTTCTACAGACTCATACTGTGCCTGCCAGACACGCACACTTTCCAAAGTATCTAGGGTAGGCTTATAGCGACAGTGCTCACAATACTCAGCTGTCTCTCAACAGGTAACATACGACTCACACAGGTCTACCATCGTAGATATGTGCATTCTATTAGCACTCGGACAACATGAAATGTCTTGCATCACGATAAATAATTAACACAATCATCATCATCATCATCTTCATCATCATCATCATTTTCCCGTAAAACTGTGTGTCGTTGGGTCACCAGTTCTGTTGACTGTCTAATCATTCTCTTCCTCTTCACCTTTGACGGTCAGTGGCGATGGACTTCATGATTGATGCCTGAGGCCTGTCCAGTTAGTCAGGTTTTGTAACCAGATCTTTCTTGGTCTACCTCTTCTTCTCTTTCCCTTGCCCTGCAGTATTGTTTGTGAGAGATCGTAAGATTTCATTATTAACACAATACTCCAGTCATTCTTCCTGCTACCCACTGTAGACGTACAAGACGTTGCGACGAAGAACTCTTTCTGCCGCAGCAATATTCTGGTGGCTGCTGCTGGTTAACTGTACCATATCAAGCAGATTCACTTTTCATAAACAACATGACTGTCCATCTGATGACATCCTACAGCTCAGAGACGCTGTCACTAGAGAAAATACAGACCGTCTGAGGCCTGTCAAGTAACCCAGCGTGACACATAGATGTACACAGTCTCCCGGCAAAACCCTGACGAATCTATACCCACACGCGTCGACAAAGCTTCGTGATAACACCCTACAGTGGTGCACTCAAGAACAACGTGTGTCCTTGCTCTACGACTTCGTGAGGTCAACTGCCTCTTATAGCAACCCGGTACACGTAACGTTAATCTCCCCACGCCCCGCTCAACACAGTAACAACACTTTACATTTGTAAGAAGGCAAAGCTGTCCCTCCCAACCCATGTAGAGAAGTTCTAATTTTAAGTTGTTGTTTATACGTATCAAATTATTTCCAGTATTATTATACTTATTTGCCATTCAGCACATTTTACTAGTATTATTAAACAAATAACAAGCAGATTACTTTAGCCTCCTTTTGAAACATTTATACTGGTGCCCTTGCTGTCTGTTTAACCCATTGTTATATGATA